ACTAGAGAGATAGTCATGGTGATGCAGATGAAGACATGAAAGCCTTGTAGAGGCCACATGTTAACACACACACACACACACACACACACACACACACACACACACACGCGCACACACACACACACACAGAGACTTGAGAAAACACTATAAATGCTGTATTTCTCTCTCTCTTTCTCTCTCTCTCTCTCTCTCTCTCTCTCTCTCTCTCTCTCTTTCTCTGGTGGGTTTTTTTCCTAATAACTTGCTAATACCTATAAACGCAGCAGATTTTCCTTGCCTTAAACAATTTCCTTCCCTTGATTCTTCAATATATAAATATTATTTTCAATTTTTATTTTGAAATAAGTATAGACTCACAGAAAGCTGAAAAAATAATACATAACATTCCTGTGTACCCTTCACCCATTTCCCCAATGGTTACATCTTAACTAACTATAGTACAATGATGAAACTAGGAAATTGACATTGGTACATTGTACTTGTGTATTTCCATGCCATTTTTATCACATGTGCAGATTCCTGCAATCACTACCACAATCATGATACAGAATGACTCCATCACCTTATCTCCACAGTGCTACCACTTTATAGTCATCCTATCCCCCCTCGCTTTTACAATTCCTAACCCTTGGCAATCACTAATCAATTCTCTGCCCCTGGAAGAACCAAAGGCACCAAGATAATTAAAGAAATCATTACATTCGGAGGCCTTCTTCACCAGAGCAAGGCATCATTGCATTTTCCAAGCCACACCTATCCAGTGCCTAACTCAGGAAGTGAGAACAACAGCAGGATAATGAGAAAGAATATACAAGAAAGAATACGAAGAAGATGAAAAAAAGGTTCGCGCACACACACAAAACCAGTCAGAAGAGTAAAGAGGAACGCAGTTCACAAACCAGGTAAGAGAAGCCTTAACTGAGACTGGACGTGGAGGTGTAGGAAAGAATCCAACCAAGTGTCTCAGATAAGTGGTTACAGGGAGGTAGTGCAGCGATGGGAAAAATTCCACTGGAACAGCCCACAGTCAAGGCTGTCTTCAGTATAGACACCAGCAACACACAAAGGTCAACTGTCAAGTCTTGTCCTGGCCTTGCTTCTTTCCAGCTGTGCTGACTGATGACCACGCAGCCTCATCAATGCTTCTATTATCCCTCGTGTCTGAGAACAGCTCTCCTCCTTGGTAAACCAGCTCAGTGTATCTAACTGCTGCCACGCAAACTAGTACATCTTAATTTTCCCCCTCATAAGGGCCAAAGTTCCAAATGATTATTGATTTCCGGGGGAGCTAGGCTTAGACCTGATTTATGACATCTCTGACTGAATTAGCTCTTTGATGAATGCGTTTTCTCTTCCCATATTCTTGTTAACTTTCCCATCATGAAGGTTAAAATATCACACATGAGAAAACAGCTCAATCAATAATTGCTGTTCACACCAATAATCTGAAGGTGTGTTACGGTGCTGAATGATGCATATTATGCGTAAAAGATGTGAAGGAAAGGATTAGCATTGCTAACGTTGGGGGATAAGTATGAAATCTCATTGCAAATGATTTCCATTAAAATGGTTACAATGAATGTATTTGTAGTCAATGAAAAGTGTCAGTGCTTGTAAAGGGTTAACTACATGAAACATTCACAAAGTCAAAACAAATATAAATACCCTCAAGTGTCTTATCTGCTTTCTCAGCCTGAAGGATGAGGGACTCCCTGTGAGGGTTTTCAACCTCCCCTTCCTCTCATTCATTCAACAAATATTTATTGAGAAAAATATCCTGGAGTGTCTGCTAAATGCCAGGAACTAATCACAAAGACAGTTCCTACTTTTAAGTAGTTTAAAGACAAATGGTAAGATTGTAGATAAGAAATTATGCCACCATAAAATGACAGAAGTCTTTCCAAGAGGAGATTTTTGGATTGAGTCTTTTAGGACTAGAAGGAGTTAAACAGTATGGGCTGGTGGTGGGGACAAGCTGGGGAATGGGGTGGGGTAGAGGGAGGTTGTTAGGAAATTTGAAGCTGGGAATACTTTCAAGTCCAAAGACAGAAGGTGGAAGAGTGCGGGGCTGCTTTTACTTCCAGCATCTTTTTCTAATTATAAGCTGTTCTGCTTGCTGTGCTTTTGGCCCCCTGCTCCACCTAGAGGTGGTGTGGCATCACACAAAGGGGGGGGTGGGGTGGGGGCTGGAGAACAGACTAGCTGAAACATTGCTTTGGCCGCTTGACTGGATCTGTGATTCTAGGCAATGTGCTAAACTTCTTTGAGCCTGTTTTCTCATCTGTAAAATGGGGATACTAACACCTGGATTAAATGAGAGAATGTGAGTCAAACTCCTGCCTCAATTCATTTAGATCTCCTTTCCCCTTCCCTCCTGCTTCAGTTGTTTTGGAAATTGTATTCTTTTACAACTGTCTCATTGCTCCTTTAATCCCTATCTTGCTACACTGTTGCAGGCGTCCCCACTAGGAAGGCTGACTGTGGGGGAGGGGTGCATCAAAACCAGCTATAGGAGCTCAGGCTCTCACTAGCAGAAAAGCTCTCCAAGGGGCTTTGATGAGCCCAACACTCCTCCCCTCCATTTGCAACTGCTGCTCCCAGGGATCCTGGGCTTTTGTTCTCTGGAGGCTTAAACTACCACCTGTTTTGCTCTGACTTATTGTTTACAGGATATCAACCATTGTCTACAGACTATCAAATTGAAATTGCCAAAGCTTAAAGATAGCAAGAGCTAAGTTTGTACTTTGCATTTTTTTAAACCCTAACACTAAAACATCAATACTTTCCTATTTTCCCTCTACTTCTCATTTCTTTTCTGAGGACCTCCCATCACAATAATCACCCCCTCTTTCCTTGTTGGTACTATCATTTAACACTAATAGTTATCTTTCAATATTAACTATAATTTACCAATGATGTCTGTCTTCCCTACCTGATTTTAAGTTCCTATAGTTCTGTGGCAGCCTCTTTTATCTGTTGTTTCTCAAAATTGAATATGCCTAAGAACCACCTGGGGATCTTGTTAAAATGCAGATTCTGATTTAGCAGATTTGGGGAGGGGCTGAGTTTCTTCTAACAAGCTCCCAGGTGAAGCTGATGTTGCTGGGCCCTGGACCACGCTTGAGGTTACAAAGCCCTGTTTACAGGACTTAGAACAAAGGAGGTGCACAAGAAATGGTTGCTGGATGATGCCTTCCTCTCTCCTACTGAGTGTCTGGGAATTTTCTTCAATACATCTTGCTCCACATTTTCCTGTGCACTATTTATGACTAACACCTGACAATTATTTGTGTATTTAGCTGTGCTCTTCCTTGACTTTCAGTCACCAGTCTCATCCAGAAATGGGTCCTGTAGGGAGTGCAATAATCTTCGGCCTCCTTCTACTGTCATTTGCTTAGTAGCAAACAGTAACTTTGAAAAGAGTCATCTTTACCCCTTACTTGCTCTGCAACTATAGTAAACTCCCAAATAGACATATCAAAGTCAGGATAAGTTTCAAAACATTTTTCCAACCCTTCCCTCTCCCTTGCCAGTCAGTTTCTCTTTTTGCACCACTTGGAGTCCTCTGCATGTTGCAGAGGTAGGATTGAGTCTTTTGAACTCCTTGCAGGACATTTTGCATTGGGAATGTCTTTTCTTTTAAAGGCATGTGTATCTGTTTCAAAAAATTCTTCTCAAAGTCTACCTACTTAAAGCTTTTCCTCATTTATTTCTAGTTGTGAGTCCTTCATTTAAAGGAGTATGAGCTACATACTATTTATATATTTAATATTCTTATGCTTTATAAATATTTTCATTCTCTGTTTTAAATGGTAAGTTTTTAAGCTTGTTGTTCACGGTTGTATGCCCAACACCTAAGAGTGCCTGACTAACAACAGGTGCTTTTTTGGGGGGTGGAGGGTGAGGGTGGAGTTCAATGAAGGATGCAACAAAATTTAAGATTAATTTTTATCAATTTTAAAAATGCCATATTTACTACATTCATTGGCAACTTTGGTGAATGTTAATGGTTAAAATTAGACAATTCTGGTGATGTAGTTCTGGTATAATAAAAATATGAAAATATCAATTCACACCAGAAGGTTTGGCCTATTACTGCCAACATATTAAAAAACGTATTTTTTTTGGCTAAAGGACCAAAAACTAAAATGATTTTAGAAATCCCTTGAAGAGTATTTAAACAAATAAGGCATTTTTGGTTTAGTAACATTTCTACACTACCACTTACCAGCTACCATTCTACTGGGGAAATCAAATTTAGGTGGCAGCTAAAATTTACTTAGGGCCAAAACCCACATCCTATCTAAAAGGCTATGCTTTCCTGTCATTGTTTTCTACCCATCACATTTTGCATTCGTTAAGGACTGCATTTTCTTATCAGTTCTTGGTGTTTTAAGTGTAAAAGAAAAGAAATGGGCTTTCTCATATTACAATGTCAAGGAAAAGTTGACTGCAAGGCCCATTCAGTTAAGTGTAAGAGGCCTACAAGCTGCACACCCTGCAACCGCCTCATGCTCCGATTTCATCTATGTGTTTTTGTACAGTTCTTTTTTGGATGGTGCAAACAGCGCAAGTGCAGCATTAAAGCCTCCCCACCCCGGGAATCGATGCAAGAACATGCAGCTTAGGCTGCCAGGTTCTCCCTAACATACAAGCAAGGGTTGGAGGCCGGGATACCCGCCCCCAAACCCCGTCCACAACAATCGTTTCCTCCCTCCCCGCCTTTTACATACAGTACACATACAAAATGCACACACGACGAGCCGCCAGCGGGGCGGGCCGGGCTCGACCACACCGCAAACCGCAGGGGGGGAGCTGCAGCGGGAGTATCTATTTGCTCAACCCCTTTTCTCCTTCGCATCCACCTCTCCCTCCATCTGGCTGTAACTAGTAGGAAAAAGCGAACAGGAGGCTCTAGGGTCTTCTGTAGCTCCGCTTCGGAGCCACACACCTTAGGCGGGTGCTGCGTTGTATCCCTTTCCTCGCCGAGCAGTTGGTTCCGCCCCAGGGCTAGCGGGCGCCGAGCGGGAGCCGCGCGGGAGCAGCGCAGCTACGGCGGCGGTGGCGGCGGCAGTGGCAGCAGTGGCTGCTATTCCGAGTGGTTGAGACGCCTCTGCGGCAGCTGGTGGCGCAGGTGGCCTGCGTGGACGCGGGCAAAGGCGGCTGGCCCGCCACTGCAGCCCTAGCGCCCGCGGCCCCGGCAGGTGAGCGGGCGGCGTTGCCTCGCCCCGCCCCCCCTTGGTGGCCTCGCTCCCGGCTGTAGCGGGGAAGTGGCCGCGGCCCGCCCGGGAGCCGAGTGGCAGCCTGGGGCTGCGACCATCGGGAAGCAGGTTGCGTGGGAGAGAGGCCCTGGGTGGGTGGCTGGAGGGGGAACGTGCCCCCTTTTGCCATCCTTTCCTGCATACCCCCTCCCTTTTGGGGGCTTAAGCCCGGGGAAAAAGGCCAGAGGAAAGATGGGGCGGGAGAAAGGGGGATTGGGTGCTGAGAAGCATCTCTGCCTCAGGTGGTGGCGTCTTTCCGGCCGTGGAGCCCCGGACCTGCAGACGCCTGGAGGTGTAGCTTTGGGGCCGCGGAGGCCGCGCACTCGCGGGGGAGGAGCGGCAGGCGGCTCTCCCCTCACTCTCCACCCCCACCCCTCTAGGCCTCCCCTCCGTGGTCCTCCCCCTCCCCCGTTCTTCCCCGTAGGCCCCTCCCTTCTGGTTTCTTAGCTTTAACAGCCCTCGGTGCTCTCCCTCGCAGGCGCGTCGGGACACCCCGAGGCATCCTCCGGTTCCTGCCGCCCCCAGAGCCTCGGCTCCGGTTCGCCTTCCTTCATCCCCCCGCTGCCGTCCAGACCCCCGCACCTCCTCCCTGCGCTTGGTACCCCCGGCATCGCCCCTAGCGAAACATGACTCGCGATTTCAAACCTGGAGACCTCATCTTCGCCAAGATGAAAGGTTATCCTCATTGGCCAGCTCGAGTAAGTGATTTTTTTTGCCTTCGCATTTAGCGGTGCTACCTTCCTTAGAGGCCTATATCCTACCCCTTTTCTTCTTATTTTTTTTTCTCTCGTGTCCTTTCTCCCCCTCGCTTTCTTGTATTCTCATTTGTAGCCTGACCTTTCTTCATTTTAGTTTTTTTTTGGCCTGGTAATCTTCCATGTAATTGTAAAAATCCAGGTGTTGCTGCATACTTAGGTATTTCCCTACGGTTTGTTTTGACGGTCTCTGGTTAGGTTTTGTTAATAGAAAGTATCTAAATGTGACGCCAGTTAATGTTTCTTTGTAGGTGAAAATTATCAGTATGGATTTTCTTTAAGAATTAATGTAACATTGACGTTCTAATTTCGAGTAACAATACATAGTGTCAGTGAAATCTGTACAGACTCTTGGATGTCCGAGAGGTAAAGATAGGTGATTAAATTGGATTTGTAGGTATTTTTTCATGTTTTGTAGTTGAGAGGCCTGGGTTTGCTTGTTTAATAGAGATTTAGGACTAGATAGTCATGAAAATTGTACATTAAGTTAACATCAAGGAAAGTCTAAAAAATTTATTTTCACAATTTTATTGGTGAAATTTGCCTTATGACCTTGAAAAAGTTGTTTTACCTCTTTTTGTTTCCTTTGGGTAAAAGGAGTAGACGCAGATTCTTGGGTGTATGTCTAGTTGTACAGAGAGGTGATTAAGAACTCAGGATTTTTTGGTAACATTTAGGAATTGTGACTGTCTAAATAGCGCCATTTTCAGAAAAAGATCTTTTCTTTAGTTTATTGTAGGACTTAGGTTCTAAGGTAGTGGTGGTTCTTAATGTTGAAATCCATTAAATTAGTTAGCTCAAAATCCTTAAATATAAGCATGTGGTGTTCTAAAGTTGTAATTTCCACTAATTTACTCTTCTTTGAGGAGTGTATTTCTTAAAGATAATTAAAATTATGTTAGCTGGAGGAAATGCACCTATTGGATACAGAGAATCCTGTTACCCAAGTACCCAAGCAGAGTAAGTTGCTGAGTGCTATCTAAATATAAAATGTTCAGCGCTTTTTGACTTTTCCCATCTCGCTCTTTACAGACTCATGTTTATATGTCTCCCCGGAAAAATTTGCCCCCCCCCAGTCTATCAAGGATACCTTTTTAGTGGAGTCTTACTTGAACAACCCTTAATCATAATTCTTGCCTATATATTTGACACTCGAATCTTAATTGCCTTTGTGATAACCTTTTATTTTAACTCTTATGTGCATGCCTTGACTTTGAATAAATTGTGTCTTGAGGGCAATAAACATAAACTGAATTTCTTTATATTCCCCACAGTCCTTAGTACATAATCATGCACTTGAAACACTAGTTCATGTTTAAATAGAGCATAGGAAAACTTGGCAGGTTTAAGGCCCCTCCAAGATACTTTTTTCATGGTTTTTAATACCCGTATTTATTTTGAAGTGTTATAAAATCCGAGGTAATGAGATACATCTATATTCAGATTTCTGTGCCACAGTGCAGTTAAAAGCCAAATGAAAATGTTTTTAAAATTATCTACTTTTCTTCCAAATCAGCCTCCCCACATGCTTCAGTATGTTAAAGGACTAGTAGTTCCTGCTGATAAAAGCAAAATAAAGTAGTCTTAGAAGGGCCAGAGTATTTTACTTCTTTATTTAATAAGTTCTCTATTTAACAAGTTCATTTATATTGGAATGGGATGTTTTGTCTCTTCCCTTTTCTCCTTATTTCTTATAATCAGTTGGATTTGTTTTGATATATTACCTATGTCTAAGAATTATATTCCTCTCTTTTTCTCCAATCTTATAAATTCTAAGTCTTTGCTCTAGAGAGTTTAGAGTATGTATTTAAGATCTCAGCTGTGAAGATGACAACCATTGTTCCTATTTTGATTTTTAACATTTTATGTCTACATATCCCAAACGATTAATTTTTAAGTCTTGCACGTATCGTATAAGCCTATATCAGTACTAACCATTTTTAAGGTCAACTTTTAAAAAATTCCCTAACATTTATTAAATTCTGTAGGTGCCAGACATTTGCACAAACTTTTATAGCTGTTTGCTAACATTAAGAAGCATATGAACTGGGTTGACAGAAAATATCCCTTCTCTTAAAGCCTCTAAGGATTTTCACAATTCTTGGCACCTTCTCACAAAGTTGAAATGACAGGTGAAATAGTCATTGGATAGGTGAGGAAATTAAAGTCCCCAAGGGTGTTGGGTGGTAATGATTGAACCTGATGCCTGAAACCTTCACACTGCCAACCAGTCAGATCACCCCCATGATGTTTTCTTCAACATGGTAATGCATGCTGAGCATTTAAGTGAGACCTCTGATGGTCTGCTCCGTTCTTAACAAAGTCACCTGATTTTTCAGTTAAAATGTCTTTGAAATTATGAAAAAGAATTGTTATGAAGTTTAATAAGGAATGAAATAAAAATGTTCTTAAATCCTGGCAAGACACTACTTCCTGATGGCTTTAACTCTGAGGTCTGCTTTCCCTTTATTGATAAGTGAAAGTAACAAGTATTACAGATGTGTTAGACATAACAGCACCTGATGTTTTTTTCCTTACTTAATTAGAAGGATTGAAAGAGAAATAAAAAGGAACAGGTAACCTCATGTGATTCAGCCATGTAGTTACAAGATCTTTTCAGAATATGTGTTTCGGACTGGGAAATACTGCTTAAGCTTTTGCTAATGTCTCCTTTTACATTACTCTAATATTTGTATAGCCTCCCTGCAGAAATATCATTTCAGATTTTTGAACAGTTTAGACTTCCTTATCTGAAATGCTTAGGGTCAGATATGTTTAAAAATTCAGAATTCGGTGATTTTAGAAAGGTAATGATGGTACATAGGCCATATATTTTGCTTCTGATAGGATCTGAGAGGGCACAGGATAATCTAACACACTATTTCTGCAGAGAAGCATCGGTAGAAAAACTAGTAGGTAGATACAAAGAAATGATGGAATAGCTTCACTGTCAGACCAGGTTTTGCCACCAATTGAGTTTTCAGAAATATCTTGGTTTTTAGAGTTCCTTGGAATTCAGAGCTAGGGATAAGGGATTATGGACTGTAAAACTGGTCTACTTGACATCAGATTTCTTTTGGATGTCTTGTTCATAGTTTATTCTGTTATAATGAGTTATGTATGATTTAAAAGATTTTAATTTTTCTGATCTTTCTTTTAGGTAGATGAAGTTCCTGATGGAGCTGTAAAACCACCCACAAACAAACTACCCATTTTCTTTTTTGGAACTCACGAGACGTAAGTCCTTTTAGCTCTAAAGGCAAATCAGAGTTAAGTTAACAGGGTCATTGGGCATAAGATAAAAATTCAGTAGAGATTAATTCGAAGGGAAAATAGTAAAGCAATAGGAAACTTTAAAATCATCTTTGAAGTTCTGAAAATGTCTTTGTCTCCCTTTTTATTGTAAATGTATTTTTAGGGTAGAAAAACTAGACACTGTAGGTTTAACTTTTATTGGAAGAGATATTTCCTTAATCAGAAGAAAGATATACATGTAAGGAGCCTCTCAGCAACTAGAATGACTGATGGATAAAAGTATGGTAAGGAAAATTTTTACAAGTCACATAGTATTCATATTTAGTAGAAGTACTTTTCATAAGGACAACCTGGCATCTTATTTTAGGCTTGTTATATTAAGTGGTTGGTATATTGTGGGAAAGATGAAAAGAAGAAATATGAATAGTTCCCTCTATGTATTTATATGGTCTTGAGAGCCACTGTGACTGCTCTGCTGCCCCTGGTGGATATGTGGGCAGAGAACCTGATTTGGTGAAACATTAATTTTTTTTTTTTTTTAAGATTTTTATTGGGGCATTGGGGGGATGGGAACAGTGCTGGGGAATTGGGGGAAGGGGAACAGACAAGTTGCTGTTGTTTTGTTCTTCAGTCTAGTTGCTTCACTGGCCCAAGTTGGCACCATCATTGCGCTCTTCCCGGGCGAGGCAGTTCAGTCTCCGGCTTCTGGACGGCCGCTCACTGCGGCTGCTGGCCGCTCACGCTGGCTGTTGGCTACACACAGTAGCCCAGCTCCAGGTTGAGCTGTTGTTCAGCATCTTAGCTGTAGAGGGCAGTGTCACTGGCCCTCATGTGGGATCCGAACCGGGGCCCCCTGGTGTCCAAAGCCAGTTCTTAACCATCGCGCCACTCGGCCGGCCCGTGAAACATTAATTTTTCAAGAATTGCAGCTGAGTATTGAACTATTACTTCTAAGTGTATAGGATTACTCTACAGGCTACCTCATCAATTTTGGAAAATAATACCCTACTTACCTATAATTTAATAGCCGTACTAGTAGTATATAATCTCTGTGAGTTTTGGACTAGAAGCTTAGAGTTTGCAGTAATTTTGGTAAGGTAAGCTTGTTTACCTGGTACTGAGAGAAACAAAGTTGTTAATATTCTAATTGTAATTATGTATTCCTAAGAGTCTACAATGGCAACATTTGGTTTAATGTTGCTTAGCTGCTATATGACCTTTCCTATAATTTCTTTTTACAGTTTTATGGAGATGTAATTTATATGACAGTTCACTTGTTTACAGTGTATAAGTCAGTGGATTTTAGTATATTTACTTCCATACCCTTTAGCTGTCACTCTCCATTCCCTCCTCTGAGCCCTATGCAACCACTAGTTTACGGCCTGCCTGGATTTGCCCATTCTGGACATTTCATGTTAATAGTATCATGTATTGCCACATAACTATTTTCTTTAAAATACAGTTTTAAGTCCAAAATGGGATTGACCTTCACCATAATTACTCTGATTTGGGTTTAGATATATTCTATATGTGAAAATTTAATTTTGTGAGAAATAATGAATTTCGGATTTCATGAGATAATCTACCATTTAAAAAACTTCCATAAATTTATTGGGGAAAGGTATCTATCTTAATGAAGTATTTGTGTACTGTGTATTGGAATAGGAGTTTTCAAAGTGTGGTGCTAGGTCAAACTGCATCAGCATCACTTGGAAGCTTTAGTTAGACACGCACATTCTTAGGCCCTACCCTTGACCTCCTGGTCAGAAACTGAGGTGTTGGGGCCTAGCAATCTGTTTGATGAGCCTTCTAGATGATTCTGATGCATGTGAAGTTTACTGTATTAGAATAATGCGAGTAGACAGTCCTTAGAATTTTTCAGTTTTACAAGTTCAGAATTCTTTAAATTTGATTTTTCTGAAATGGGACAGATTATATACATACATACATACATACATATATATATATATACACACACACATACATATGTGTGTGTGTGTGTGTGTGTGTGTGTATCTCATCGTTTTGTAGAACACATAGTTCATTCTTAAGTTAAATTTAGATGAGGAATGATCATACCTTCCCCAACATTTAAAAATGAGGATGTTTATATTGTGCCTGTAAATTTTAAATCACACACCAAATAACTAAACTTTCATAAGCTTTGTTGGGTTAATAACGAAACAGCGGTTTTAAGGGGTTGATGAAGACGATTACTACTACTCAAGAAATAATATATCCAAGGAATTAGAATGTAACTTTAAAATTAAGCTAACATTACATTTTCATTTCAAAATGCACTTTTAATGTTTTGTGCTTTAGTGTTCTCATCAGTATACCATTTATCTTTGGAAAGGCAGTGCTGCTGTATCTGTTGGTCTGGTGACTTGACTTTTTTTGTACTTAATGTTAGTTTTTAGAAACTAGATGTTTGATGATTTGCATTTTCCCCCTCAAAAGTTGGGAGGTGGTTAATTGAACCTTTCAGTTTGGATTGTGCATAAATGGGAGTTTATTCTAACAGCCTGTAGTTAAGGAGATGTACTTAACAGATGTAGTTAGAACATAAAACGGCAACTTAGAAAACTGCTTATTCATAACTGATTTATAGATTAAGATTTTTTTATTGTGTATTCAGAGCAGAACGCTTTTGTAACTTTTTTATGAAAACATCTGGATTTTCTTAGCGCATGGTGACAGTCACAGTAAATTCACCCGGTAATCAAGTTTTGAATATTAGACAATGAAGGTAACCAACTGTGACCATATACTAGGTATGTTAAAACTTATCATCTTCAAAACAGATTCTTACTAAATGAGACTGACATGGACCCAATGCTTTTTTTTTTTGCTTTTTTTTATTGGAGGGGAACAGACAAGTTGCTGTCCCTTTTGTTCCTCAGTCCAGCCGTGGAGGATGTTGCTTCACTGGCCCATGTTGGTACTATCATTGCGTTCCTCCTGGGTGAGGCAGGTTGGTCGCCGGCCACTGGACGGCAGCTCACGCTGGCTGCCGGCTGCTCACGGTAGCTTATGGGAGCCCACTGCAGCCCACGCCGTCGCTGGCGACTCATGGCAGCTCAGCTCCAGGTCAAGCTGTTGTTTATCATCTTAGCTATAGAGGGCGCAGCATCACTGGCCCTCATGTGGGATCCGAACCGGAGCCCTGCTGCTCAGAGCTAGCGTCCCAAGCCAACTCTTAACCAACGCACCACTCGGCTGGTCCGGACCCAATGCTATTATTGAGCCAAAAATCTTTACCCTTCCTCCCCACATCTAGTCAGCCAGCAAATGTTCTTTTCCTTTAAAGTGCATTCTGATCAGTCCATTCTTTTCCATCTCCTCTGCTACATACAACTCAAGTCCATGCCACAACTACTTTTGCAAATAGTGTTTTAACCCTGTCTTGGTCTCAGCTTTTGCTCTTCATACATAGATAGTTAAAGTGATATAAAGATATTCCAGTCAGATCTTGTCATTTCTTGTCTATGAACTGTCAGTGCTCCCTTATTAATATCACCTCAACCAAAACTCCCAAATTTTGTCCTGAAATGCTGTTTATAAGACCCTACTTGAACTAGTCTATGCTTACTGCCTTTCCAACCTCATATATTTTTCCTGTTATACAAATATACTTCATTTTGTCTCAGGTCCTTGTTGCTTGTTTTCCTTTTATTTGGAAATGCCTGCAGATTTTTAAGATTTAGATTTTAGCTCACAACCTCCTTTTATTGCATATTTTCTCTATAACAATGATGATGGAAGTTTTTTCTTCTTTCTCCTTCACCCACAAGTGAAGAGCTTGGAGAGCAGGGACCTTGTTTTATGTCATTTACTTAAGTGCCTGGCACATAGTAGCTGTTAAATAAATATTTGGTGATAGATTGAAGGCGCTATGCCTAGATAAAATTATTGGTTGGTTGTGAATTTGTTTTCTATTAACTAACATTTATATAATGTTGAAGCCAACTAGATCAGAAGACTTTTTAAATCATGACTGCCATTTACCTGCTATATAACCTTCTGCAGGCTGCTTAGCGTTGTGTCCTTTTCTTCCTTATATGTAAAATGGGAATAATAATTTATCTCAAAATTTTGGGGTGTAAATAGGATATTACATGAAAAATAATTGTAACAGTGATTGGCATGTGTTGAACACTAAATAAATGTCAGCTATTATTAACTAAAAATAATGTTGCATATTATTTTTTCAAAGACTAATAGAGTTATTAAGTTGCTTTTGACACACAGTTAGTTTTGCTATTTACCACCGTTGTTGCTAATTGAGGGAATATTTTCACCTAGGCCTATCTATTTCCCTAAAGTCTAGAAAATTTAAATGAAGGGGGTGTTTATGCTGCTTTTATCTCCTTACTGCTCTCACTTTTCCTAATACAAAGAGGTTGGATTCTCAGTTCTAGGAACTTTAAAACCATGCATGACAGGCTGTTTCAAAACCTGCTTAATGTATAGTTTCAGGACTGAAGGTGAATGGGGAAGTACTGGTGGTGGTTGGTTTTTTTGTATAACCTGTCCACAAGAAGGGAATAAAGGAATAAATCATAGGGTGAGATTTTATTTTATTCTGCATTAGCTTTTCTGTGTGAATTATGTGCTGTAGCCAAAGCTGCCTGTGTTGGTGTAGGATTTGTATAGTTTCTCATAAACCTTATACCACATAATGAGAGGAGCTGTTTATTCATCTCTATTCCACCAGGTTCGTGGCACATAGTAGATGTATATTCAATTGTTTATTGAATCATTTTCTATTATATAAGAATGCATGCTGTTGTAAAATATAACATCTATTTATAAAATAGTATGTTTCGTATTTTGTGATTTAACGATGGAGAAAATAAACAGCAAATTAGAATCGGAGTTTTTAAAAAAATAGGACTTTCTGTTTGGTAATATTACTTAGCAACAGTTAAATAAGTTTTGAGTTTTGTATCTTCAGCTCTGATAAGAGAAGCTTTCCCATT